ATGAGGTAAGGAAGGAGACAGTGTGGGGTTATGAGGTAAGGAGGCAGTGTGGGGTGACCTTGACCACACACACACACACACACGTTACCATCATCACCCATGAGGTAAGGAGGCAGTGTGGGGTGACCCTGACCACACACACATCACAGGGCAGGCTGGGTGCTACAGAGTGTCACAGTAACAAGACATGTCACCACCACCCCTTGTGAGGTAAGGAGGCAGGGTGGGGTGACCTTGGCCACACACACTCACAGGGGAGGGCCATGTGCTGTAGATTGTCACTGTCACACAGCATGTCCCCATCGTCCCATGTGAGTTACGAAGTACGCAGATAGGGGTGACCTCGAACACACACACTCACCGGGGCAGGGCTGCGTGCTGCAGAGCGCCTCCTCCGTGTGCAGACCCAGGCAGATGTCTCCTCCGTAGGCCGGGGCGGGGTTAGAGCAGGAGCGCGTCCGCATGTAGTGTCCACCACCACAGGTGGCCGAGCACTTGGACCAGGGGGACCAGCAGGACCACACACCATCCACTGAGGGAGGGAGCAGAGTCACGTCAACTCTAAGGGGACATCCTACAGACACACTGTTTCACAACCAAACCCAAGGGGACATCTCTACACAGACGCACCATTTCAGACCCCAAGCTCATCAGTGTGATGCGACTACACAGGTCACACCATTGTGAACTCTGATAGGCCCACAACAGCCTCTCTAGCAATGTGCTCGAGCGTCTCAGAGACTGTGAGGTTGCACAGGATAGGACAGGTTTCAGGTCATCATTCATAGGGTCACTGAGTAGTAGTATTTGCCTCAAAAGCACCTAGCAGCAACAACAAATATCTTAGGATCTCAGAGCCCAGTGTAACACCCTTACACAAAGCTGCATCAGTTCCAACCCTGAATTTGCCCTATCTCTGGGAATGCAGGGAAATGAGCTGGTGCTGAGACTGCAAAGCTGCTGACAAGCCCAGGAGAGCCTAGTTAGTACCTTCTTGAGGAGAGGTTTACTCCTCAAAATCCTGTCCACTGCTTCACAGTGCCCCTTTTCTGTTGTTTTAAAAAATGTGCCTAAAATGTATAGTGTATTAACCTGAAGGTGACGGGAGGTAACATATGGAACACAGAATCCATGTTTTCAAGGAGAATCACCCACAGTGGGCAGCCATCGTCACGAAGTGCTCAGCTGCTTGCTCTCTCTCTCTCTCTGCAGTCTGCTGTCCCCTGCCTGTCGTTGTCAGTTCACCAGCAACTTGACAGCGACACCCTGATGGGGGCAAGCATGATGGAGATACACCGATCCAGGAGAGGATCAGAGAGTCAATCCAGCTCAATTTTATTGGACTTCACTGCACTTATATACAGAGGAAGACCAGATAGGGTGGGCTTACAGATGTGGGACATGTGGATTGGTTGGGAGAACCTCAGCCTCGTGTGAACCACTCCCAGTTCAGCAGACGGGACAGTCATCTTCCCAGGTGGCAAGGTTTCTCAAGTTCTGTACAACCAAATACAGGGGCACTTTCTCTACCCCGTATTAAAGGCTGTTGGGAAGCTTGCACTTATCTGGAGCTTAGGCAATCTGTCCTGGTCAGAGACCCTCCCTTCCTCCCCAATATTCCGCAACATCTTCCCAATGGGACAAGAAGCCCAGGAAGAAGCTCACACCCCTGCCTTCCTTATGAATGAGGTCACATCTCTACCGCAGCACAGCAGATAGAGAAAACCCAAGGTGTCACTGGGCAGCATAGAATTTGGCTGCTGCGACACAGAGGCCTGGCCTCTGCCCTGTCTCCTGGAAGATGAGCTAAACTCAAGCAACTGACATGACAAGAATGACCACAGTGGACCTCCTGAACCACACTTGAGGCTAATACAGTGCCCTCTAATCGCCATCACTTCATACAAACTCGCAAACATGGGAGAGTGCTGCAGATTGGATTCGTTCAATCAATCAATCAATCAATCCATCCTACCTATGGAATTAAGCCCCAGTAAAATCCAGGGTCACCAAGCTCAGTGAGCTCACCTGGGGGGGTCACCCGTCACCAGGGTTGTCACACATTATCTCAAGAAGTAACGGGTCTTACAGACAGCTGGCACTCTGGACCCAGGGACTCCTGGGCTCCGTCCTCGGCGCCTCTTCCTGTGCCTCTCCTCTGGAGTCTGTCTAACCACAAGAAGAAGGGCTTCCACTGAGCTTTAGCTCTTTGGGTGAATTATCTCGGCTGAGAGTGGATTGTGAAGTGCTAGCAGCTGGTGCCAGAAGGAGGGGTCTGTGTAGACTGTCCCTCTAACACAGTAGCTGGATTCTAGCATCCATGGCTGTGGTCAGCTGTGTTGGCAGGATGGAGAGTGTTATCCTAATCTGGCTGTTTAGGTGATTGTGGGAACTCAGCAAATCCAGGCACTAAAAGACAAAGGTGGAAATAAACCAAAAGCTTGGGAGTGTAATTGGCTGACACTTCTAAGGAGGAATGCAGTGTGTGCTGCTAGACTCCGAGACAGGGTGGACACATCATTTCGAAAGAGCAGTGTGAGGCTGTGCAGAACTGGCCCCTTAGTGCAAAATAATCCTGACTGCTCCTGACTTCATGTACTACTCTATCCTCAATTCTCTGTAGTGGATTCTGGCTACACCTTTTGCATCCATAATTCACACTGGGAACCCCAGTGTGTCACACATGGCAGGAAGCTGAGGCTGCCATCTTGCCTCCCTCTCAGGTACCACCCATTCTCCGAGGATCCCATCGGCTTTGGTAACAACCAGCCATCCTAGGACAGACGGGAAATTTAGGCCCAGATCTGCATCAGGCTCTCGGGCCTGCGGCCCTTGGGCCAAATAAACAACACTAGCATTGGACATCTAAAGGAGACAGAGCCCTCACCTTGGAAATTATTGCACTGTGACAGGCATGTGGTACAAAAGGAAGAGTGGAGACACTATGCCACAAGACAACAGTCTTGGAGCAGAAGCTCAGAGGCAAGAAACTTTCCCCAATACTGCCAGAGACAACAATCTCTCCCTGTAACAAGTACATGGGATTTGGACTTGAATCCTTCTAAATGTAAAATAGAAATCAGCGTGAGAGACCAAAAACATCGTGAGGTAAAAAGACATTACAGAAGTGATTTGTGGCCTAAGGCATCATATCAAAGGGTTGTTGGAGGAGAAGGAGGTACTAGATGGGGTATGAAGGAATTTAAATGATGCTGACACTCAGGACAAGGGAAGGGACATGATATATATGCAGGGAGAGGGCCCTGCAGGTACAGTTATCTTTGTAAGGGGAAGTAACTTTCATTTGCTCCTTTCACTAAAATGCTTGTCTGTCAGATGTTGTTCCAAAGCCAACATTCAAATTAAGACAGACTAGGAAGAATGACTGGCCACCCACTTTGGAAATATAACAGGCCTTTGACAATCCTATGCACAAGAGAGAAAACAAAGAGTAGAATAACAGATACGGCAACTGAGGCTGAGCCCTCAAATTTGGAAATACAAGGAAAGAGGAACTTTTGTAAGCAGAAATTAATGACTGGAATGTAGAATGTGAGAAGCACGAATGTAGAAAAACTGGGTATTGTTAAGAAAGAAATGGAATGCATAAATTTTGACATATTAGGTATTGGTAAAATGAGATGGATTGGTATGGGACATTTTAAATTAGATGGTCATATGATCTACTATGCTGGAGAGGTATTGATGAGGGAAAAAATGGGGTCACTTTTGTAGTTAAAAAGGCCATTTCTAGATCCATCTTGAAATATAATGTTGTGAGTGGCAGGATAATATCCCTATGCATATAAGGAAGACCTGTTAATACCACTATCATTCAAATTTATGCACCAAAAACCAGAGCCAAAAAGGAGAAAATAGATGATTTCTACCAAATTTGCAGTCAGATCAATCAAACATGCAAACAAGATACATTAATAATATGGCTGACTGGAACGCAAAACTGGGGAGCCAGAATGAAGGATCAGTGGTTGGGAAACAAGGACACGGTGATAGAAATGAGGCTGGACATAAAATGATAGAATTCTGCACAATCAATAATTTATTCATAGAAAATATCTTTTACAAGAAACATAAATGCAGGCTATAAACATAGACTTCACCTGATGGTACACACAGGAATCAGATCGATTGCATCTGTGTCAGGAATCACTGAAGAAGTTCAGTATCAGCAGTGAAAACTAGGCCAGGTGGATTGTGGAACAGACCATCAACTACTCATATGTAAGTTAAAATAAAAGCTAAAGGAGGTCAAATCAAATCCACAGGAATCAAAATTTGACCTTGAGGCTGTCCCACCTGAATTAAAAACCAACTGAGGAACAGGTTTGAGGCCCTGAACACTAATGAACGAAGACCAGATGAGCTGTGGGAAGATAATCAAGAATATCATCCACAAATAACGCAAAAGGACATTACAAAGATAGAAAAAGAAATGACCAAAATGGATAACAGAAGAGACTCTGAATATTGCACTAGAGCACTGAGAAGCCAAAGCAAAGGGAAATCAAAAGTTAAGGCGCTGAATATAAGAGTTCAAAGGGCAGCATGGGAAGAAAAAGGAAAGTATTATAATGAAATGTGAAAAGAACTGGAGTCCAAAAATCAAAAGGGCCAAACTCTCTCAGCATTTCTTAATCAGAAGGAACTAAAGAACAAAGTCAAGCCTTGAGTTGGAATACTTAGAGATGTTATGGGCAGAGTATGAAATGATCCAGGAAGCATTAAAAGAAGATGGAAAGAGTATACTGAGTCACTGTATCAAAAAGAATTGGCAGACACAGAAGAATGTCAAGAAACAACAAGAGGCAATGGTGATGAAGGAGGAAGTTCAAACTGCTCTGATGGACTTGGCAAAAAATAAAGGCCCAGAAATTTATGGCATACCGATTGAAATATTTCAACAAACAGATGCTATCCTGGATGTGTTCACCAGATTGTGCCAAGAAATCTGGAGGACAACTACCTGGCCAACTGACTGGAAGAGATCTATATTTATTCCCATTCCAAAAAAAAAAAAAGGTGACCTCACAGAGTGTGGAAATTATTGTACAATACCATCCTTCTCACATGCAAACAAAATCCTGCTGAAGATTATCCAGAAATGACTGGCGCAGTGCATTGACAGAGATCTATTAGAAATACAAGCTGGTTTAGAAGAGGTTGTGGCACTAGAGACATTATCACCAATGGCAGATGGATCTTTGTAGAAAGCAGAGAGTACCAGAGGAATATCTGTGTTTCACTGACTATGCAAAGGCATTTGACTGTGTGGATCACAACAAATCGTGGCTAACATTGATGTGACTGGGAATCCCAGTACACTTGATTGTGCTTCTGCGAAACCTATACTTGGACCAGGTAGCAGCTCTCAGATTATAACAGGAAAACACCGCATGGTTCAAAATCACGAAGGGAGTGCACCAGGGATGCGTCCTGTCTCCATACTTATTTAATCTATATGCAGAACAGATAATTTGGGAAGCTGGGCTTTTCAAGGAGGAATGTGGCATC